GGTGCTGTGAAGACAGGCGTCCAGAGGAGACTCAACCTCTGCTCCTCTCAGGTCCACACACAGCTGATCGGCCCACTTGTTGTTAAAGTGGGTGTGGTGGAGGTGTGGTCCCTGGCTCAGCTGCAGGGGAGGGATGGTGCAGTGAGCTCAAGGAGGCAGTGCCAGTGGAAGCAGATGAGGCCACAGGTGGTGTTGATCTGGTTAATCAGGTGTTTCTTTTCTTATAGTGAAGCCGGACCCTGGAAGAGGGGGTGTGTCCCGAGACCGGCTGTGAATGGAGAGACGCTACCTGTGAAAAGTGGCAATAAAACTCATAAATGTGACAGTGTGTTGAGTCTGTCTTTCCAAGTTTTGTCGAAACCCAGGAATTGGGATGTCAGAGCCACACGCCGCGCCGCCCACCCAGCCTTTGCAAATCTTAGCACAAATGCCCACTGTCGGTGGCAATGCTCTGTATTGGGGGACGGTGATGACCCCCAGATCTTCTTGGAGACCTTCCGGGCCATGGCAAAAGCATTTCAGTGACCTCCTGCAGAGTGGGTGCTGCTTCCACTGCTGTCAGGGGAGGCTCAGATGGCTGCCCTGAGTCTGCCACTGACCTCACAGAGCAGCTTCCCAGACATCTGCCGGGCCGTGCTGGACTGTATGGGCCTCTCCCCAGAGGATCATCCTCGGTGGTTCTGGATCTGCAGGCTGACAGGGGAGGACCGCCCGTTCGTGTGGGCCCGGAAATTACACGACGCAGCGGCGTGATGGCTGCTGCCTGGACCATTGGAGGCTGGTGGAAACAGCGAGGTGGGTCCGGTGCCACTGGCCTACGAGCCTGGAGGCAGCGGTCACGTTGGCAGAACACTACCTGGCTGCTAGAGTGGAGGAGCCCAGGGAAGGCAGGCCCAGGTGCCAGTGCCTAGGTGCAGGGTCCCCACGCCCGCACCGGTAGGGCGGGCCCCTGCACTGAGTCCCACTAACCCATTTTTTCCCACTTTGCTTTCGGTCCCTGGGGAGGCAATCAGCACTGCTCCAGAGCGATGGAGAGTAGCAGAGACACTGGGGCAAGGGTGCTGGAAGTGCGGGCAGCCAGGACACCTGAGGCGGGACTGTCCGCCAATGGAAGTGGGACAGGTGTTCCGTGTCACTAGTGCTCCGGCACCCTTCCCAAGTCTGGGAGGGATGTACAGCATTCCGGTAAGGAGTCAAGGGGGTATACGCCATGGTTTGGTGGGCACGGGCTCTACACAGACCCTTTTGCACCAGAGCTTGCACGGAGGACACACACACCCAGTTGGTGCCATAAAGCTGCTGGAAAATGATTTTCCAGGTGGCTCACTATAAAACCCATGGGAGGGCATATGGGATATGACAAGAATCTGGAGCGAATTAAGGCCCACTTTTATTAGCTAGGCATCCGAGCGGATGTGCAACGCTGGTGTGCATCCTGTCCGGAATGCCAACTTGTTAACCAGCCAGCCATTCCAAAAGCACCTTTGCGCCTGCTAACATTGATGGAGGTCCTGTTTGAGCGCATTGGCATGCACCTCATTGAGCCATTTCACCGGAGTGCACGTGGCTATTGCTTTGTATTAGTGCTGGTGGATTATGCAATGCAATACCCGGAAGCAGTGCCACTGCGTACTGCATCTCTGCAAATAGTGTGGAGCAGACACTGTTTTAG